TATCATATTGGAAAGCATGGGAAAATAAAATATAGTGCAGGTAAGACGATATAAATATTTGTTTTTTTCCGGTTGGCTGCCAAACCACTGACCATGTTATGTTTGTTGTGTGGTTTTGATATTCTTTTTACTGTAATTTCTTTATCACTGCATCATGCATATTTTTTTTAATTTTTAATAGCAATATTTTTTCTTTGGAAAATACACAATAACTTAAAATGAAAAAAAAATGACATGACTCGTATACTCTTTAAAAAGAAATTAAATACACTTATAGTATTTTAAAAAAAAAACTATAAGAAGTTGAAGAAAAATCTCATGGAAAAAACCAAAAAAAAATAAATTATATCCTCGAGGCCTAGCTATTTGTAAATATAAACTAACACAAATTTTTATCCAAAAACACTTCTAAACAATTTTAATATCATAAACCTTTTTTAAACAATAAGTCAGCATGAAATTCAATTTGAAATTTTTTTAAATATAAAAATCCCAACTTAAATATCTTTTAATTGTGGTTATGAAATGGCGCAAGGTTTTGGTACCTATGAATTTGTAATAACGAAAGGTTTCGTTCCATGATGGTTTTAAACTTAAATATCTTTTTATTTTATTTTTTGTTCTTTTTTGATGAGGGGCGACCAATTGGCCTAGAATATCCATGGCGTTGGCATGTAGCCGTCAAATGCAGAAATTGGTAATTTCAGCGAGTTAAATTCCTGCCCTTGTCCAGGATATTGAAAGGGAAATCTTAGACGATGATAACAAGTATGCCATTGATGACACACACCATGATGTCAATGAGCTCGGAGGGATATTCAATATGTGGTACGCAAATCCAGATTGAGATTTAGATCTGAGAATAATTTAATTTAAAATTATGACGAACGTGGAAAAACAATACCATGATGAGAAGATGAACTTGCTTAAAAACAAAGTAACATTGTGATTCTTTGAAAAATTAGAATCAAGGAAAGAAAAATTCAAAACTCATGTCAAATATAATATTTCTCTCCTAATACAACTAAGAAAAACTAGATTTTTTTATTTCTTAAATCTATATTGGGTTTGGAAAACATATTTTAGAGATATTCTATAGTTTTTCTTTCTATATTTTTCGTTGTTTTTCAAATAAAAAAAAAACTAAAATGATGGATAATATAATTTTATTTTATGTACGAACACCGTAAAACATTAAATTACTTTTTTATTTTATTTTCATAGTCAACTAATTCCATGCATTATTGTGAATCTCGCATCTTAACCTGGAATCTTGCATAGGAGTGGACCCTTCAACCACTACATAAATCTTCACCAGCCAATGGGATAGGCCATTTTGTTTGTTCTCTCTCTTCCCTCCAGCAAGGACTGAACTCTCCTCGATGATGATTTAGGGTCGGAAAAGTATAATCAAATATGGTCAAGACCCAGAGCTTCAAACTTGTGCTGTGTTTGGTTTGTTCTATAATTCTCAATATCTTCTTTCTTTTCAAAGTGGGTGGTGAGTGGAATCTGAGTTGGAGCAAAAGGGCAGCGACCGAAGCTGAGGCTGTGGCAGCAATATCATGCTCGGGACATGGAAGAGCCTACTTGGATGGTTTGGTTCTTGATGGAAATAAAGGACCAGTTTGTGAGTGCAACACTTGCTATGGAGGCCCTGACTGTTCTCAGTTCTTCCCTGATTGTTCTGCAGACGCTAACGGGTACCTAACTCCTCTTGCTCTCTCAGCCACGCACAGTTACATACACCCCAAAATGAAAACTTTTCTTTGTCAATTCTGGGAGTTGGTGCTGAATAGGTTTCAAATATAGACACTTAGTTGTGATAAAACCAGATTTGGGCTTAAACTTCTGATTAAGTACTTTAACTTCATGATTTCGCACATCCTATCTTTATTGTTTCGTTTTTCTTTCTTTCCTACTTTTTTTTTAAAATTTTTCTTTTAGGATTATAGAGAAACCTAGATAATGATGAACTGTAAGGAAATTGTTGTTTCAGTTGTTTGCTTGATTCTTCAAAAGTTTAAGAGAGCAAAGGTCGATAGTTTTAAAGCATCAAGGAAAAGGAAACAAGAAGAAGAAATAGCTCGTGTGTATCGAATCTATTTTCTTCATATACAAATTCTGATGAAAAGAAAAATAGCTGGACCCGTTTGTCAGGTTGATCAATTTTGCCCAACAAACATTTATCACTCAGAATATATTAAGACAAAATAACCGATCATCCCCGCCATGTATGTGAGAAATTTGTTTGGTGATCATCAAGATGATGAAAGAAGGAAATATATATCTGAAAATTTGTAAACATGAAGTTGTAAATATATTAGTGAAGCTGTTTTTTATTCTTGGGATATATTGGGAAAGGGGGTTCTTGAAGATATAAACATTGATGGTATGTTTGAGAGCTGAAATCCCCTGGAGAATTATTATTTTTCAGGCCAAGAGACTCTGTTTCACCTAGAATTTATCAAGAAGATGTTTTCAATGAACCATAATCTGCCAGTTCTCTCTGCAGGCTCCATAGCAACAGAGAAACGAAATTTGAAGGCTTAAAAAAGTTTCCTCTTATAATCGCTGCTTGGTTATGAAACGTTTTGGTGACAATTCTATGCACTTACAGTTAATAAAATTAAATAGTTAGCAGCTAATACACATCAGAAATCTTCCTGAGAAATAATATAATGCCACCGTGAGTACTACTTGATCAAAATATATAACTGACAATCACTAGCATTACTTAGTTTTTTCTTGATCGAAGTAACAATACCATCATTTATATCATCTCTGTTAATGCAGTGGGGATCCTTTATTCTTGGAGCCCTTCTGGATGCAGCATGCAGCCAGCAGTGCACTTCTAGTAGCAGGGTGGCACCGGATGAGCTACTCGTATGCTGATCGGTCTACCATCTCTATAGAGCTCGAGAGACACATCCGCAAACTACATGATATTGTAGGAAATGCAGCCACGGAAGGAAGATATGTTGTATTTGGTGCCGGCTCAACCCAACTACTTAGTGCTGTGGTTTATGCTTTATCTCCAGATAACTCCTCGTCGCCTGCCAGGGTGGTGGCTTCAATCCCTTTTTATCCGGTTTGCACCACTCAGATTCTTGATTTTCGTTAATTTCTTGGTGGACATTCTAGATGCTTCATTGATACCGGTGATGATTCTGATGTTGCTACTAAAACCTTGCAGATTTATGAAAAGCAAACAGACTTTTTTCAATCAGTAGATTTCCATTTTCAAGGGGATACATCCTTTTGGAAGAACAATTCAGACACTGATACAGAAATAATCGAGTTTGTAACTTCACCAAACAATCCTGATGGGCAGCTGAATACGGCTGTCCTCCATGGCCCAAATGTCAAAGAAATCTATGACCATGCGTATTATTGGCCCCATTTTACAGCAATTCCAGCTCCGGCAGATGGTGATGTGATGATATTCACTCTTTCTAAGCTTACTGGTCATGCTGGATCTAGATTCGGGTAACAACAAAGATATTACACTCTTGTGCCCAACAGTATATACGCACCCTGTTATTTTTTAGTTCAGTTTAAACTACTTCTATGGAACGCATCACCCTTTTGTTGTTAAACATTCCCAAGATCATGCTTTCCTCATTTAGTTTGGTAGCTTGTCTCTCTGAAGTTGTTCCTGGAAACATGTGTGAATATCACTTGTCTCTCTGTGAAATATTGTAATGCCATTACTATTGCCAGTTCCTTATGGTAGCAGCGTGTCTGTTATTTGTTTTATACAGGTGGGCAATCATCAAGGACAAGGACATCTACCAGAGAATATTAACCTACCTAACCTTAAATACCATGGGAGTTTCTAGGGATAGTCAGTTGAGAGCTTTAAAACTTCTAAAAGTAGTTCTTGCAACGGGAGGGAGGGAGATATTTGAATTTGGACACGAGACAATGAGGAAACGCTGGGAAAATTTGAACAAGGTCATTTCAACGTCTAAACGCTTCTCTCTGCAAAAAATCACGCCCAAGTACTGCACCTACTTCCGGCAAATCAGGGGAGCTTCACCAGGTAACTCTCAGCCGAATAAACGAGATGTTTTTGAGTATAGGGTATTCACGCTCTATTTTGAATGTGTTTGGAAATACGGTTCAGGTCATACTATTAAAAATTTTGATTTTTTTATTTAAAATCAATATTGTTTTAATGTTTTTAGATTGATTTTATGTATTAATATAAAAACAACTTTTTAAAAATAAAAAATTATTATATTAATATATTTTTAAATTAAAAAATATTTTAAATAGCAACAGTTACCTCCATGTACATCACATCTTGTTAACCAATTCAAATACATTATGCATTGCAGCTTACGGGTGGTTGAAGTGTGAGAAGCAAGAAGATCAACACTGTTATGCAGTCCTGCAAGCTGCCAATATCACTGGCCGTGAAGGCAGTATTTTCTTCGCAGAAGATCGCTATGTGCGCCTCAGCCTCATCAAAAGCCAAGATGATTTCGATTTACTGCTCGACAAATTAAACAGGTTAGTCGCAAGAGAAGAAGGTCCTAGAACCATGTGAAGGATGTGGCCCACATCATAGCTACGACGGTCATGTTTATTGACCTTGTGTATAACTGTGCACGCTCATCAATTACTGGTTGTGCCTCTATTTTTTTATGATTTATTGATAGTCATTGAGGTAATTTCTGTTTACCTGTTTTGACTTTTGTGTATCGTTAGCTAGAAAGGAGACGTCATGTCTATTGACGCGTCCTATTCATGAAAGTCTACGTAGGTGGCTTGAATTCGCATGCCACAGGTTGGCTGCTTCTGGTAATGCTGAGACTGCAGAACACTGCTTCGTGTATTTGTAATAATGTCGATTTGCCATATGTTTCTGTTGTTGTTTAGGAGAATTGATGCTTGACGTATCTTTATAACTCGCTGGGTCCTGTTTGGGGAGGTTTGTCTACTTGCATTTTCTGTTTCTAGGCCCCCTAGTGAATTCTGCATCATCAATATTATATGTTTGACAGGAGATTTGCAGATAATGAATCTACATTTATCTTTTTGATGTTAAGGTACACATGAACTGAAAGCCGCACTTGCTTTCACAGCTACAATCATTAATACTTCGTAGATTCCCCTTGGTTGTGACCTCTGGATCCAGAATAAGTCCAGATCCATGGGGCTGCTTCTTCCAGAGAAATATGTGTGGTCTTTGGTTTGTATCCAGGCGCACTGGCCATACAGACACAGTTGTCCCGTTGATATCAGAGTTCCAAGCAGGAACAGAACAGTACTCTTAAACTATCCAGTAAATCAAACATATAATATTTCAAGATCATATTGAATTTTGAACCAACAAATGTTAATATATTCAACTAATATAACTAATAACTAAATCAAAGGTTATATGTAAAATTGTTGGGATTATGCGATGAAGATTGCCTGGTTTAGAATAAGATTTAAGATTCATGAGATTAATTCGATTAAGTTTTTACTTTTGGATGGAGTAATGTTCTGGTTGATATTTGGCTCGGCATTGTTGTCTTGCCACGCAAGGAACGGATTCACTTCTAACATTACAATATTCATTAATTTTTCTTACTGGCAAGTTTTGAAAATTTCAACTATTTGATCACTTTGAACTTTTAAGAGATTTGATGTCTTACCCAAATAGCTAGGAGTTTGATCCTGATCTTAACATATCAACATATGACATACCTTCATATCTCTCTCCGGGGGCAAGGAGCCGATGGTAATCAGCAAACCCTCTGCCAGCTTTAACCTGTCAATTGAAGTTAAACTGCTAAGGCATATGTTACATGGGAAGCATCAAGTCAAAGCACCGAGTTTCAAAGCAATGGAGGAACATTTCCTTAAAGGACTCGCCCGCTGGTTTGGTTACTAAATTGAAAGTGACTACATATTTCAAGTAAAAAAACTTTTAAAAACCCTCATATGCATGACTGCATGTGATTTCAACATGAAAATCATTTATGACGATTCGTATTATAGATGTTACAAAAAGTGGAATAAAACTGATACATGAATACATGATAAACAAATTAATTGCAACACTGCGGCCTACCTTCACAAGGCTGCAATGTTTAGTAAACTCATTTTGCTGTACTCCCATAGAGTAGGAAGCTGCTCAGGTACATGGCAAGACATATTAAGCAATTGGAAGACTGTAGGATAGAAAGAATGAAGGAAAGGGGTGATTTACTGACAATTAACGCAAATACAGTCTGGAAAAAAAAATCTGAACTCGCTTGCATCAGGCCATTTGTTGTCACTAATCTCCAAAATCAATTCGAAACACCCAGCATGTATATAATTCCAATCTTGCATTCCACCATATATTGGGTACCTACAGCAAGTTTTGGTTAAAAATGTCGCTGAGAAACACATAAAGGAAAGACAACAGAAGAAAAGCAAAAATTAAATACGTGCAAATTTTGACAGCCTTGAATGTTTACAACAGTGCACTTCTTGTGCATGAGAAATAGTTCTGAGTTTGCCATAACAAGATGCTCCATTTGTTATTCCTCCAAAGAATTCCTCACTCAGAGAATTTTATGGTGAGAACGACTGACTATATATACTTGCCATGAACCGGAACGTATCATCATCAGGGCATGCATAGTAATTTCTCCAGAAATTGGGTTCACATAACAAGATAAAGCTATGTGTGCAAGAGAACAGAAAGGAAATCCTAAGCAGGGCATAAAAAATTAGGCAACTTAATTACAGCATCCTCGGTGTTAGTAAGAGCATTTAGGGGGACAAAATCACAAAAGATAAAACAAGAAATCCACTTAGTGAAATCACTTGTGGCATCTTTTAAGGAATTATATACTGGTAGAAACTAAACTACATTCACCAAGCCTGATATATAGCCACAAGAAAACTATTGAAAGGAAAGATTTGTTTAGGAACCACATCATGGTGATGCTGCCAAAGATACAAATATCATTTTTTAAGATGGAAACCTGAACTATATAATAAGAAATGTGAATCAATATACCCATCTAAGAGATCGATGATCAATGGCCAAATTAAAAAAAAAAAAGTTGGGCAACAATGCTGAAATAAGCAGATTGGGTTTGAATCAGCATGGCATAGTCTAACAATTTCCAAAGGGATAACATGGAAACATTTACAGAGGAATTAAAGGATTTATAACAAAACATGAAGAGGTACAGCAATCTGTTCAATAACCATAATTGCATGTTGTCCTCGGTGCCATCCCATGGGTAATTTGCAACTAGTAATCCCTGAGAATAACAAGAGACATGACTAACAAGTATGATTAATCAAGAAAAAGCCCACATCCCCGTGTTTATCAACTGGCTTAGTAGCACTCACGAAACCCATGAAAAAATTCATTTATTTAAAATCAGCTGAAATTAGCTGGACGAGTCAACCCTTAAAAAGTTGAGTTGAAAATATGGAGATGGAAAGAAGCAGGGAGAGACAAGTTCTTAGTTTCGGGATGAACAGATAAGAATGAATGAAGAAAAGCAGGTTTTCCATTTCTGATCAAGAAGAATGTCACTCGCAATGTTCAAAGATTTTGATAGCCACTTTCTGCACATATTGATATAAGAATCAGCAGACATTCATGTACCCATATGATTACTTCATCCCCTTTAGCAGATGTTCATGTATCCATATGATCTTCATCCCTCTTCTTGTGGATTGAAAATTTTATTTTGATTGAATCACAACATGTAGTGTACACTGTCATGTCGAGAATACCAGGTAAATAAGTGTCTATCATCTTAGCTTAGAGAAAGCAAGGAAATTATTTTTTCAAAAAAGCAGTGTATGTATACAACTTTCACCAAGTTCATAGCATAGAGGAAAAGAAGATGAAGAATTACCCCATGCAAACTGGCAGATGCTGCAAATTGTATCTCTCTCAGCCAATTCATAACTGCTCATTTCAGGTTGACGTGCATTTATCTCATTATTGAGTGAAAAGAACTGGCATGTCATGTCGGTAATACTTTTATCATAATACAGTCACAACCAAGTCTAGAAAGGAATTGTAAACCACAGATTCAACTAGTGCATTAAATAAAGCAACACGGTGGAACATCTCATTGCACAGTAATGGCAGTTTTATAATTTTAACTGAATTTAGGCCAAACAATTTGAACGCAAGTTCTAAACACTAGTTGATAAGATCATTTCACTCACAGAAAAAATAATCAAGTTCCAACATATGTTTTGTATAGGAGTATTATTTGAATTTCAATCTCGGCCTGAAAGGTCCAGATCCAATAATTGGACAAAATACTACCAAAACCACAATTATATTGTTAATCAGACAGCTAAATTATTTACCAATGCAATGAATCTCAACCTGTTTACTATTTTCTTTCTATCTCCTCCTGGTCTATCTCTTAAAAGAACAGGAATCCAAACATAGCACTTCCATGTAAAATATATTGCAAAAGTTACTCCAACTAGAATTTGTTTCGTCATGGTAAAATGATTCAAAGATTCTACAGGTTTTTTTTCAGTTAGGTCTGCAACTTGTGACATAGGATATAAAAAATGCAGAACTGTTTCATTTTATACATTTTGGTATTCATCATCGTCAAAGTAGTCTAATTAATTTTGAATTTAGGTTATATCTGAATTTGACAAAAAAAATAACAAAAGCAGCAACAAAAATGAGCACCTGGTCAGGAAAATCTCGATTGAGGTCAATATTGTTAGCATTACCATGCCTCCTTGAAAAATATCCATCTGGATTCATGGATGGAAGAATATGAAGGTGAATATTTTCAACAATCAATCTGGCGTGTAAGATAACATAAGACTTCAAAATGAACCAGACCTTGCTGTGAAACATATTTTGTAGCACTTCAAGTTTATTCACAGGCAACAAAGCAACGGGAAAATTTCTGTATTAATCAGGATTATTTCACTAGAAAAATTGATTGCAAGTATGATATTACCCGTGAGAGCTTCTGGATATCAAACAACAACGAAAGTTTTCTTTTATTTTCATTTTTCTTAAAAGTTTTGTAAATATTCAAAAAATGTGACTAGCAACAGTCACACACGGCAACTCTATTCTTAATTAGCCTTTCTTAATGGCAGTAAATTTGGCTTGATTTGGAAAAAATAGATGGATTACTGTTGGAGAAGACGCATAGAGTTTGTCAATGATTCGTAAGTGCAAAGGAGATAGTGAAGAAGTAAATGGAAACTATGATGGTTCTACTACAACAAATACAAATATTTGGAAAAAAACATAATGAAACTAGATAGGGAAATTTAAGAAAACATTACTAAAAAACAAAAAAAAAAATCAAGATGCTACTACTAGATGGAAAAAAAAATAAGAACATGAAAGTAATTTGCAGCAGAAAGTTCAAAATCCTTAGATGAAGACACGCAATGAAAGGAGAACAGAAATACCAACGAATCCTTCGCATAGTTGTCGCATATCCAATCGGCGAGACGTAACAGAAGCTCACGACCTACAGGTTTATCCCCATGGACGTTTCCAATGAACAGAAAGATTGAAAAGAAAACAAGAAAAAAAAACCGGTCACCTAGTCGATCGCAGCAAATATTGTAAGTTACACATGCATAAATGGCTGCAAACAGGTAAGCTCACTCACCTCGAATGCAGGTTCAGGCTCTTCCTCCCCAGGCTTGTTCGAGATCTCAATAACCCACTAAGAAAGCTATGTATCCTTTAGCTCTATCATCGCTGTTCCAACAATTTTTTCCACATTTTAATTAAAAAAACTACACATATTTAAAAAAAACAATTATAATTATAAAATAAGCTTAAAAGGGAAAAAGAAAAGAGAAACTGAGATAGTAAAGTACCTTAACTTAAGACTGTTTATCCTGAAATAACTCCCTCCTAACAGAACCCGAATAACTAATTCCACTACCATTTCTTGAACCTGCAGAAAAAAATTACAACTATTCTGCGGATCATCACTAAAAACCTAAATCAAAACAGAAAACAACGATCATCAATCGTAGAGCAGATATTTTAGAGAGGGGGTAGTGACCTGAAGGCAGAGAAGAATGGAGAGGGCCGCGAGCGAAGGAAGATGAGAAAGAGAAAAAGGGAAGCGTAGAGGAAGAATTTCATTAGTGCAAACAAAGTGCCAGTTAGGCCCAACCATCTGATGTTTGAAGTTTGCAGCTGGATTTTTAGTTTCTTCTAGTTAGAGGAGACGTTTGGTTTTATATATATATATATATAGGGCACTGATGACCGTGAATTGGATCGATTTCTCGTTTTTGTTTTTTTTGGTTTTGAACGTTGGACGAGGGAGGGAGGGAAGGTGCGATTTGCGCGTGGGAGGCGCAAGTCACGTGAGCGTGGGGGTGGGAGGGAGTTCAGGACGCCTCTGGGTGGATCTGGGCTTTTGGATGGAATGGACCTCGAAATATTTTACAAGCATAGGCTCCCTCCTAACGAAACTTATATGATTATTATTTTTTTAAATAAGAGTATAATAACATGAGTCGGCATATTGTCATTTTTTACGGGAAATGTTACTCTGTTAGGTGTTGCATATCTTGACTGTTTATATAAATAATTCAAAATATTAATTTGATAAATATAATTTTAATCTAAAATTAAATTAACTTGAAATTATATCAGGAGAAAAGCTTTTTCCACATCTTTGGATACATGACTACGGACCAAAGAGATCACATACTCCAAGTAGTTTGCATCACATGGCAATGTTAGAGGGCCATTGCTATGCAGTCCAAATTCTTCTTCTGCCAATCTGAATAGCTGTCCGATAATTTTGTTTTTCAGATATGCTAAAGGAAGCACAAACCGTTTCCCGTCAGCACTATACACAACGAAGTGGCCCTTCTCGGCCATCGATGGTCGGCTGCTGCACACCACCGCATCTCCGTAACCGGAATTCCTTGGAAATGACATTCCTTTCCTCCTTGTAGCAGGAAGTTTTTGCCATTTTCTTGCAATTTTTATTAGCTTCTTGGGAGTGATCATGCTGTCGACCTGTGTGCCAGAGATGAAATGTTTGAGATAGTGACTGTGACAGTGAAAGTAATACTGAAGACAATGAGGTGCAAGTTGTTCACGGATGAGAGCGATAGAGAAGGGGGAGGTTGTATATATTCTCACCAAGGCAGAGACAGTGCCTTAAACGTGGCTTTCATTTTGCAGGAATGCATGGAGAGCAAAACCGTGTGATGGAAGGATAAGATGCTTAGGTCGCTGTCATATATTAAAAGTTTATAATCTGTTGAGCCAGCGTTCTTTTTTTGCCCAATTTTGTGAGCAATTTTACGAACCACAGTAACTACGTGGTTATGGTACCAGAATCAATATATAAGGTGTGAAGATAAGACACCAAAGTTTTTCGGCTGCCGAACGAGATTGAAGTGGGAAGCAGATGGTCCATTGAGGAGCAAATGGAAAATTGCTGCTGGATTTTGAATTTCCCTGCCCTTACAGATAAAATAAAATGCAAAGTTTCAGGAATCAGTATGTAAGCATCCAGCTACGCCTATATACTGCTGGATTTTGTAGAGTTGACCTGTGAACTTAAAGTCTTAGGAATCATAGAAAACATGTAGATAATTAACCATGGTTACGAGACTCGGTCTGGCCTGGCCCTGTTTGTTAACATGGTGACTCATTGACTCATGACCACGTCCGGTTTTTTACCAAAACGAAGCTGTTTAAAGTTTTTTCAGGGAAAAGAAAAAAGACAAAGGTTACGCTAACCCGGGCTAGTCCCTGACTCATGACCCGAACCTTGGCCGGGTCAGCCCGAGTAGGATCTTATATACATGCAATTAACTCGGAGCAACTGCGACTTAATGGAGTTGGTGGAATAGGATGGCCATGACAGGATTACATGATACATCAATGATATTTGCATTAAGAAGAGAATCCGAAGACCGTTTGAGCTGAGAAGCTTTTTCCTTGGTTTACACACGGATTATATGCAGTAATTCGCATAGTTAAATGAGTTTTGGTTTAGGAAAAAAAAAAGATTGGATTACATCAAGAATCTTTACTGTACATCACAATTGTGTCAGCTTTTCCTGGTTTAAATCATGTAATACTGCCGGACCCAATAATTTTAGACCGGCGAGAAACTGCCACATTCGTGGTGTATATATCGAGTTCAGGTTTTGCGTAGATCATGCATGCTAAAACAGTCCGCTTTCTATGACCTTTATTTGGAAAGTGATTGCTATCTCGTACAGGTGCCTCTGGAAGCAATTTTCTACGCGATATTAATTTGTTAGATGAGCCAAGTCACTGGTCTTGATAAGCACATCTGCCTCAGATTTGCTTTCAACCAGCATCAAAAAATGAGTATCTGAAGGTCTCTATGATGAAAATTGCCGGTGTCTAAATTAGTGTCTGGGAAAAAAGAAAACGAATTAGTGCTTGAGCAGGTATATCTGCTGATTGATATGGTCAATGAATGTTGTTATTCTACTTAATTTCGATATATTTGGGATCCTTAATGTTTAGAGCTAATTCATAAGTTCCGTTTCCCTTTGAAGAAAAAAATCAAAAAAGTTGATCGCTGGGTATAACTTTACACTTGTGTAGATCATTACATGATCAGTATAATCTGTTTCAGAAGCTGCAGATAACTACTTGTTGGCTTCTAGTCTACGAGTCACCAAGAATATTACTTAACATTAATATGGTACTTTCCGCCATGAGAAAGAATACATCAATAATCGAAAAACAATTTTCAGTTCCAGATGAGTATTTAAGGAATCCAATATCCACACTCAGCACTAACATGGAATTACAGGGTTGGTGGTTCTTCATATGGGAGAGAATATGACAAGGCACAGCATGGGGCAATTGACATAAGCCAAGGTTTCTCCAGATCTTTATCCACGCCTCTCTGGATTAACATGATTATGTATTCCATGAAATACGCTTCACATGGTAATGTGATTGGTCCGTTACTTGGCAGCCCAAACTCGTTCTTAGATAATTCTAATAGCGCTCTGAGAATCCAACTGTTAAGAAATACTAAGGGAATTACGAAGCGATTTTGATCGACTGTGTAGACAACAAAATGACCCTTGTCAGCAAGCACAGATGATCTTTCATCATTCCAAGTTGTCCTTGGTAGCGAATTGTTCTTCTTGTTGATAGAAGCTAACTTCTGCAACTTCTTTCCCAACTTGGTGAGCATTCTGGAACTATTCATGTGGGAATACTTTCAGGCAGAAGACTTGAAGTAATGTATAAGAAAGTGGAGCTGTAAGGTTCGCTGAGAGGAATGCAAACTGAGGTGGTATTTCCTGTTTTATAAAGGCCTACGAGGATTGGAATTCCCGCTGTTGTTGATTGCTTTTTTACAAGGAATAGACTATTGGTGTGGCAAGTTTTGGAGAAGGTCGACTTGTTCTATGCAGCCGTCAGATGTCCTTCAGCACGGTGTCCGAGCACGGTCAAGAGCAGGGCTGAGTAATTTCCAGAAGGAACATAGGACGCAGGAGGAGGACGATCTACCATGTTTGAATTATAATAATAAAAATAATATTTATCTGTTTCAAAAGTTGAACAGGAAGCTTGTATTTTGTCTTCCATTACTAGCTTCCACCTTGTCAGTATGCTGCTCGTCGTGTTTTAACTCCTATTATGGAAGAAAGTCGGCATTCCTCAATGAGATTGAAAGCAGTAACTTAAGATCCAAATAAGGTAGCACAAAAGCCTCCTACACAACCCATTGACGATCAAGACCGATTCTAGCTACGTATCCCACTGCAAATCGATACCCATCAGGCCGCCATAACTCATAATTAGCTAGGAATTATTTTTTTAAGGCGTTGGTACAGGGTGAGATTAAAGATAATGGAAGCGAAAGTCAGACGATGATGCCGCCGTCCAGGCCTATCAAAACCAGTGCTTGGTCTAGCAGTGGAAGGCGCTTGTCTCCTTCCACTGCACTGGGTTCGAGCCCTAGCGTGCATGTTTGTCATTCTTGGCGCTTGTCTCCTTCCACTGCACTGGGTTTGAGCCCTAGCGTGCATGTTTGTTATTCTTGTGGTACCTTACATGTCTACTGGGTTTGCAAGGTATTCAGTGGGATGTGAGGATTAGTCATGATGCGTACAAGCTGGTCCAGACACCTCACATAAATCAAAAAAAAAATAATAGATTGTGAACCAACTATCTGATATTTGATGTTGCAAATGGTAAGAGTTTAGGATTAAAAATTTTATTTTTTATATAATTTTAGATTTAAATTTTATGATTATTAATATAATAACTACTATAAATTTATATGATTATTAATTTTAAAACTCATAATATTAATAAAGATACATACAAGTTCATTTAAATACTTATATTAATCAAATAAAAAGATAATGGTAGGTTATCAGCTCAAGACAAGATTCTAATCCATGGACCTACCTATAATGGACCCACCATGATTGGCGTTTCACGTGTGACCAGGTCACCAACTTGGGTGTTATTAATATTATTATTTGCATTCCAGTGCTTGGCCTAGCGGTGGAATGGGCTTATCTCCTTCCACTGCACCTGGGTTCGAGCCCTGACGTGCATGTCTATCACCCCCGCGGTGCCTTACATGTCTACTGGGTTTGCAGGGTATTCAGTGGGCCGTGAGGATTAGTCGTGATGCAAGCAAGGTGGCCCGGGAACCCCAAGTAAATAAAAAAAAATATTATTATTTTTATTATAATTTATTTTAAAAATATTGTTATTTGTCTCTTTAATATTATTATTTTTATTATAATTAATAGATTTTAAAAAATTATTGTTAATATTGACCATAAAAATTATCAATGTTATTGTTATTATTAACATTAATAAATTTAAAAAAAATATTATTATTATTATTTAAAAAAATTATAATTTTATAAGGCATTAGCCTTGGGTCTGGATGCAGAGACTTGGGTCCGTCGTCAGGACATAAGGTTCTAAGGTCTTAGGTTTCTAAATATTATTATTTGTATTATAAATATTGTTATTTTTATTATAATTAAAAGAATAAATGTAAAAAATATTATTAATATTGAAAAACAACCATAGATGTAATTTGAAAAATAAAAATAAAAATAAAAGTTCTTGTCATTGTTATTATTATCATTAAAAACTTATATATATATATATATATATTATTACAATCGAAGAAAAACTATAATTTCTGAACGCACTGGCCCTGGATCCAAAAGGCATTGGACCCTAATGTAAAAT